TTTCACAAACACTGCAACAACAATTGCGTATCAAAGGATCTTTAATGCCTTATTTGATCTTGTAAATCAATTAACTGACTTACCGCCACAATTTAAACACATTCACGAAAATGGCTGGAACTGCATAATTGCTGATTTAAATTATGCACAAGCAAAAGGTCTTGGATTGGCTTTAAACAATATAGATGAAACAAAAAGTTGGGAAGAACATCTTACTTATATTTTTAAATCCTGTCAAGTGCATTACAAAAGGTATAAATAATTTTTTATATTTAAATTTACATTAATATTTAATTATTTACTATATATTATATTATGTTTATAATGTAAAAAAATTCAAGAAAAAAGGTATAATGATGATATAACAAATAATATGTACGCACTTCTTACAGTTGAATCAAAAGATCAAATAAATCAACTATTTAATAATATTCAAACAGCTGAAGGTGCCAGTGGTTAGTAAATTTTTAAAAATTTTAATTACAGAATTATTTAATTTTATTATAAATAATATAATAATATTTTTTTAATTTAATAAATTGGGTTAAATTTTATCGTCAAGATTGGGTTATTTTTTCTCTTAACAGATATATATCAAAAATTGAAGAAAAAGATTGGTTATCCGCTCCTAATAATACTAATACTGCGGAAGTAGCACATGCTTTAAGTAATCGTCATGGAAAAAACCTTAAATTAGTAACAGCAATTTTACAGTAAGTAGACATTTTTTAATTCATACGATAATGTAATATCTGATGTAAATTTTTAATTATTAGAGGACGAAAGTTGGATAAGGAAAGAGTTACATCTATTAATATTTATCAAATGTATAATGTACCTAATCATGAACGTGATAAAAGACCTATCACTCATAATGTTCAATCTAATAAACGCAAAGGTAAATTCTAAAAATTATATTAAAAATTAATCTATACTTTGAATTATAATTTAATCCAATTTATTTATTTATATATTAGCTAATGCACAAAATAAAAAATCAAATGCTGAAAACTCAACTGCAAAAAAACATAGATGTGTGAGTTCTAGTAAAAAGAAATCCAAAAAAGTTATTACAATTTCTGATTTAGAGGATAATTGCGATGATGATGAAAATGGCAAGAAAAATAATCCTACAAATTTAAATTTCAATGAACTTAACTATCAAGAAAAAAAATTAGCTTTAAAAGAGTGTGAAATTTTTTTAAAAGAACGTGAAGCAAAAGTTCATATGATAGAATTATCCAATCTTGAAAAAGAATGTGAATTAAAAAATTACAATAGTAATTAGATTTTAAATGTACCTGAAATTTAAATATATATTTTATATTTGTAATGGTACATAAATATAAATGAATTTCTTGTTTTAAACTTGTAAGATCCCCGTTTGGCAATTGTTTTGATTTTTTTATTTAAATTATTAAGTATAAATATTATTTGATAAGTATTACAATACACATCTTAAATGTTATATACATATAACGGAGTATGGTAAAAATTTATACATCATACTCAAAACCATTTTACATAACTATACAATACTCAAAATGGTAATCTGACGCTACAACTTTCCGTCTTACTGCAAAATTCGTTGTAGAAAGAGTTAACTGTATATATAAAAAAATAAGAAATAATTGTTTTTATTTTATCTTATACAATTATTATATATAATAATTAATTTGTTTCTTTATAATTATACTTTTAAATTATATTATAAACTAAACTAAATATATAATTTACATCTTTTACTTATTTATTATTATCAGACATTTCATCTTTATTAATTACATAATTAGTCTATTCTGTATATAGAAAGTTACTAATATTACAAATTCCAAACAAATGTATCTTTCTTGAACTTTTAAAAAATAAAGTTCCTATTTGTTATAGTAAATAAGAAATTAGAATATTTTAAACACAATCATATGTAATATGTGTATTTTTCTTCAAAAGTTTAAAATAATATTTAAGATTTACCAAGTATATTATTTTGATTATATTTATTATCTTCAATAGTATACTTAATGTTAGTATTATAATAATCACATTTCTTATTTTACATGATTGAGGTAAACCAAATAATTCTCTATAACTTTTAATTTTTTTTCATATTTTATAATAAACTGAATATTCATTTTTATTCTTTTACAAGTATTATATATATTAGACTTTAAAGAAATAAATTAAAGTAAAGGTATTAGAATTTTTCAAGTATTAATAAATGTTGATTTAGTTATAATTTGTGTCTTTCTTTCATGCTTATTCTTATAGGTTTGTGATATACTGAAGTATAACTAAAATTTGTTAAAAAATGTAATTGATATAGTAAATTTGAAAAATTTTCATTCAAAGTAAAGTTATTTATTTCATGCATTTTAGTATAATTTTTTAAAAACTTATTTATTTCACATATTAAACTATAATATATTTTAACAAGATTCATATTTTTAAAAATATTGCCTGTATTATTATATATACATTTTTTAATACTATATTCTTCAAAATTATATTCCTGTTTTAATATTATTTAAATATAATCACTAACTTCAACAAAAATAAGGTATATGGGAGGCAGTCAGTAGAAAAGGGGGAAATCCACTTTTTAGTAAAAAATTTTTTTATTGGCTCACTCTGCTGATTATGGTCATGTGAACAAAACTAGCTTAATAACTAAAATTACTCAAAATTTGTAGATTTCCCCCTTTTCTATTGACCGCCTCCCATATAGTATAGCAGATTGAGAAATTATTACTAAAACAAAAATTGAAGTATAAATATTTTTTATTTATAATTATTTCTTTATTCTTTCAAAAAGCTATAAGTTATCCTTTATAGAAAGAAATTGACATAATAATATAAAATAACAAAAAAAAATATGCTTTTAGATTTTGAAAGACCTTCTAGAAATATTTTTAAACATAATGATAGATATAAAGCTGAAGAATAGACAAATTAGATTACTTTATATTTAGTATCTTTGCTTAAATCCAAATTACCTGATAGGTATAAAATTATATTTATAATAAGAAATATTTTTAATTATTTATTGAATTTAAATTCTAATTTGTAAAATAAATTTATAGATATAGTATTTCAAAGTTTTGTTATTACTACTTATTTATGTAAACAAACACTAGTCAAAGTAATTCATTTTAACTAAAATTTAACTGTCCAGTTTGGGCTGAATTATGACCTAAAGCTAATCAATTTTCTTATATAATGATTGGTATAAAACAGCTGCTATTTGTTTATTAATCAGACCAAGCAAATCGTCACATGATCAAACAAAATTTGACTAAGTTTTAAGTATGATGATTTATCCCAATCAATAAAGTTTTAGTGAATAATTTTATATCGAATTAGTATTATTTATAGTATAGTATATTTACAAAAATGAAAGATTTTATTTATCGATAATAATAATAATATATATATATGTACTGTATATATCAAAATTAATAAATTCTGTAATGTAACTGTTGAAATAATACAAATTGTGACTAACAATTAAATATCTAACATATAATCAATATTATAATAATTGTCTTCAGTATATTCATTGTCACTTTCAGCTACCTTTCTTTATTTTAAAGCTTTCTCATAAAGTGAATAATCAAATTGTACAAGTGCATCACAAATTTCGTCATGGATAGATAATTCACCTCTTCAATGCTTCTCATCGACATCTATTAAAACCTGTCTTTTATCATGTGACAGTTGAATTTGATTTGATGGTTGATATAATCAATTTAAAGTATTTCTATCTGATGGTTCTAATGGTAGTTTTTCTAATAGAGTGTTTAAAGCATTGTCTTTAAAATTTGTATCATAGGATTTATTTTGTTCAGTGTATTTTCAAATATTAATATTAAGAATACAAATTTACTAAAATTCATTAAATAAAATAATACCTTGTCCAATTGCCATAAATAATCATAAACATTAATATGGCATTTGCCATTTGGATTTTTGTTATCAGTTTAGCATCCTCACTTTTGACAAATTTCAAAAAAAATATTCTTTTGCTTCCCAACAAATTAAAAATAACATGTGTATACTTGAAATTTATTATGTGTCAAAAATAATAACTAAATATGAGAATGAAACTCTAACTGACATATGAAAAAAATGTGGTATTAATAAAAATTTGATTGAAGTGATTTATTTAAAGTAACAAATCTAACAATACAAACTATTTTACAAAATCCACTAAAAAACCCTTTATATATGCAAATCAAATGAATGAAACAAATCTGAAATTCTACAGAAAGCATTTGATAAAATATAAAATCTAGAAAAATTAGAGTAAAAATATTATTAGATTGGTGTAGTTTATTTATTAATTGGTTACATCAAGAAAGCACAATTATTCAAATTTTAAAAGCATTACAAAATATTTATCCACCTGATTATCAAATTCAGAATAAAGTATTATATGCATGGAAAGCTATGTTTATAGCTTATGAATGTATTAATATTACTTCTTTTAAAAAGAAAAATTCTGAAATTGAATTTTGAAGTAAAGCATCAGATCCAAGTGCTAATAAAGAAACTTTGTTGAATCTATATAATGAGAGATTAATTAATTTAGGAAATTCTTCAATAATTATAGATAAAAGTGCAGATTTTTGGAAAAGCTTCAGATGTGCTCTAAATAATAATAAATGTGGTTTACATAGAAGAACCAGAATTTTATCAATAATTGCTGAAAAATTTCATTATAAAGATTTTTAAGAAAAACTTCAGGTAATTATATTTGCATGAAAATTTATTATTGTAAACTATTTACTTACTTACTAAATCAATATATAGGTTGACTTAACTAGCATTAATTTAGCATGTAAATATGCTATTATGCTATAATTAACAGTCTAGATGTATTAGCCATTATGAAACTCAAACGAAAAATTTGTCATATATCTGAAATTAAAGAGAAATAATTTGAGCTTTTTTTTCAAGATAAAAGTAATGTAACTATGAGTTCATATAGAGTGGATCCTAAGATTAATCTACAATATTATATTTACAAGATCAAAAAAAACATTATAGGCTAAATTTGAAGAAATATACCCAAATGGAATGAAAAAATCCTCATTTATGACACGATTAGCCAATTGTAATCATATTAAATATTGAGAGGATTTAGGTTCAATATGTAATGAATATGGATTTTAAGCCTTTCAGAATCTAATAGCAATTGCATGAAATACTTTTAATGACAAGAAAATACTAGATAGTGTTATGAATCGTATTGAGAAACTAAGAATTCACATAAAAAGAAATTTTGAAAGGAAATTAGTAATCAATCAGAATGGTACGATATCACATGACAATTGCATAAATCACTGCTTGTTATATGCATTCGGAGAATGCAAACAATCTCATACATTACGTTGTGCTAGTTGTGATGAATTTTTTGTGATTTTTGATTTTTTAAGTTCACGTATTCCTTCTGAACAAAAAGTTCAACTTGATCAAATAAAAGAACGGCTTAAATATTACTTGTCTCATCAAGTCCGAAAAGTTTTTTTAAATGTACAATTCAAATTAACTTGACAAGGATGATGCAATCATTGTAGCAGATTATAAGATGAGAATATTACTAAAATCTGCACGTAAACCAAAGAACAATTTTTCAGTAAAAGAGGATGGACCCTTCACACCATTCTAGTAATTATAAAAAAAGAAAATGAAATGAAGTTAGATGTACAGGGGGGTGAAATAAATATTGCATAATTTATTTATCGATTTTATTTTATATATAGTCACGAATATTTATAATAA